AAAAAAAAAAAGACAAAATAAGCTGAAATATTGTCTTACCACTTTTACAACACAGGGTGCATCGCTGCCAACTGATTTTGAAGAATTTGCATCAGCTGTTTAAAGAAGAAAAGTACATAACATCAGAATAACATTATTATGAATACTGTATGCATATTTACACCTGTATGTCTGTAATACCTTTATAAATTCCAGTTCCCAAATACATTTCAGAATATTGTTACAGTGTATTTCATCAATTTTCATTCTTTTCTTGTGCTTTAATACTGAAGATGGAAGCCATCTTGTGTTCTGTTTTTTCCCATTAGTTCATCAGTGATATACAGAAAGCCCCAAGTTGAACAAGTTAAATGTTTCTTTAACCCAAAAGTACTCATGGGCCTTAATATGTAGATAGAGAGAGAGAGAGAGAGATACAGTGAATGATAGACAGATATAGATAGATACATATGGTGAATCCAAAAAAACGATGACTAGTATCATTTCTTAAATTTTGAAAACTATACAATCTAAAAAGGAACATCTAGAGCCAAAGTTCTCAAAAAATACCATTGTAGGGGAAAATTCATCAAGATCAATACTTCAGATTGCATTTCACCAGACTAGACCACAGGTTTTGAGGTAGGGGCAGGTTAGAAATGCCTTCAGTCAGGAGGCCAAAGGCGCTGGAAGAGAAGAGGTGAGATGAGAAGAGACATGAGGGGCTCACCAGGTGACACATACTATGATTCTGGCTGGTTCTATACAGGAGATGAGAAGCCACCAGAAGGTTTTAAGAAGGGGAAGGGCCAAAACAAAACCTTTTAGGAGACTTCCTAAGGATAATGGCACAGAGGGGCAAGAGCAGAGCAGGCAGGTAAACATTACACCAGGTAAGCAAAGGTGCTTAGCCAAGCCAACCTGGAAGCAGACAAGAAGTGCTAGTCAGATGATGGAAAGTGGCGCTGTGGCTCAAGTGGTAGAGTGCTCGTCTTAAGCTGAAGAGCTCAGGAACAGTGCCTAGGCCCAGAGTTCAAGTCCCACGGACAACAAAAAAAAAAAGATTATGAATCAGTCAGACCCTCAAAAGGACAGACGACAGAATTTTTTGATGGAGTCAACAGAGTGTGAGAATTTCACCTTGATGAGGTATGGATGGCTCCTATGCAACTTGAAAGAGGAAGCTGCTACTGACAGGAGAACTGTATGCGGATCCAGTTTGAGAGTATCTGAAGTTTGAAATGCATATGATGATGACACAAGGAAGCTCAGTGAACGCTGATAACAATCAGAGAGTGAGGGAGGAAGGGGAAAGGAATGTGTGTATATGTGTATCTATGTACATGTATGTATACACATATTTACATGTATGTGAAAATAACCATATATATACACAGAGCGAGAGAGAGAGAAGGAGAGAGAGAGAGAGAAAGTTGTCTACACAGAAAGCTATTTATTGGACTAGGGGCATAGTTCAAATGGTAGAGCATTTGCTTAAGGAGTTCCTGAGTTCAATACCCGGTACAGCAACAAAGGAGAAGAAAGAAAAGTAGGAAGGAAATGAGGGGAGAGGGAGGGAAGGAAGCTATTTTTGAGAGCTGGAAATATAACTCAGCAGTTGGGAGTGCATACTTTTCACATGCAAGATACTTGGTTCAATCCCCGAAACTGCCAAAAAATAAAATCTAAAAAGCTTACATATTTAAAGCCTCAAGAGTGAGAGAAATCCTTGGAGAATAAAGGCAGACAAAGAAAAGAAGAACAAAGCCCCAAAGCACTCTCCCACAGAAGTAGAAGGGCAGCAATGGACACCAAGATAAGATATTGCCTACCAATCAGCTAGGAAGCACCAGAGTCTGGAAGGGCTGCAGTTAAAGTACTTCAGACTAAAGAAGAAAGGTCTCCCATAAAAATGGCTAATTTGGGAAAGAGAGAAACAGTCCCAAGGACTGTTGAGTTTTTTTAACAAAATACTAAAATGAAGATAGCATTCCAGTAATACTGCATGCTTAAATGAGAACAGGAGGAGGGAAAGGAAGCTCAATAATTCATTCAAACAGTATTTACTGCAAAATATGCTAGCCACAAAGAAAACAAGAAGAGTTGTCCCATTGTCAAAAAACACATTTAATATAAAAGTAAGAAAAGTAATTTCAGTGCAGTATGGAAAGTATCAGAGAAAGTAAACACGAAGGGAATATAGTATCTGCCCTAAACTTGGTTTGGGGAAAGGAAAAAAGTGTGTGTGTTGGGGGGGGGGGGGCAGGAGAAAGCTGGGGACTCACCTTGAGCTGAACAGCTCAGAGACAGTGTCCAGGACCAGAGTTCAGGCCCCATGACCAACCAAAAAAAAACAAGAGGATACTTTTTAGTCGTAACAGTATGTTTACTAGGTGCATTATGGTAACAGGGTCACAGATGTTTACTTATGCCTAAAGTCACTGAACTATATAGAGAGTGATCTATATGGAAATTATATCTCAAGTAGAACAATAGCGTTTTCAAGACATAAAAATAACATAAAATGTCTTAATTATGTTGCATACATTGTTTAAACAAAGGATATCACTGAGGTTTTTTTTTTATTACTGTGCCCATTACTTGAGGACACAAAATTTATTAGTTTTTAACTTTATTTCTCCCAAGCTGAAAAAACTGAATCATATTGTACAAATACATTAAATCCTGAAAACAGAAAATAGCAGGGCCAGTTGCTGGTGATTCACACCTATAATCCTAGCTACTCAGGAGGTTGAGAGCTGAGGATAGCAGTTCATAGCCTGCCCAGGCAGTCAAGTCCCTAAGACTCTTATTTCCAATTAACCACCAGAAAACCAGAAGTAGAGCTGTGGCTCCAAGTAGTAAGAGTTCTAGTCTTGAGCAAAAGAGCTCAGAGACAGCACCCAGGCCATGAGTTCAAGCCCCACAACCAACCAAAAACAAAAACGTAGGGATAAAAGACTCCATAGTCTATAAACTCTAATAAGTTCAAAGAATGATTTTTATTTACATTAGATTATGAATAATATTATTTCTGATGCTAAGCTTTAATTCTTTTAACAATACCAAAGAAGAAGGTCACTTTCGTAAAAATATTCAAGTTCATTTTGAAGTGATAAGAAAGAGAAAATTGGGTCATTAAGAAAGCAGGGCCCTGCATTCAAAGGAACATTACTCTAAAAGGTATTTGTGCTTGGAAGCAGCCAAGCTCAATTTTCTTTGGGAAATATAGGCACTGAAGTTTGCAATAATAACTATTTTTAAGAACTGTAATAATTTAGAGGCATAACTCAAATAGTATAGCCCAACCTAGCAAGCATGAGGCCGAGTTCGAACCCTAGTGCCATCAAAAAAATAAAAAAGGAACAGCAGCCTATACACAGATCAAGGCAAAGGGACAGCATAATGGCTGCAAAAAAGAAAATTGAACTTACATATGAAGAGTTGTATACATCATTCTTAATTGACTTTTGAGGAACTGAGGAACCACTGGATGGGTAAATAGGATGGTCTCATTAGCATGCTAGATCACTTAGGCCCACACGATGACCAGGGAGATCCCAAAGGGCAGAAACTGGGCAAAGAAGATTGACTGATACAATGCAAGCCCAGACAAGACATCGTAAGACTACCCTTACCCAGGGTAGTGGTAGGAGAGAAATGGATGGATTTGAGACATCAGTGAAAGCAATAGGACTACATGAGGTGCTGGGACCATTAAAGAATTTTCAGAAACAATTTCCTATTTTCTAGCTTAACAAGTATCACTCACATAGATAATCTTCTAATCATGAAAGGATCACAAAATGAAAAAGAAAATGCCTAAAGACATCCAAGAAGAGATCTGCTGGAAGCCCTGGACAAGGATGGAAGAGATCAAGTCTTCATTGCAGACAAAAGATAATGGAAGTCAACAATACAAAGAGTGACAGAAAGCTGTGAAAATCAGTGAGATCACTAAGAAAAAATATCAGGAAGAAAAAGCAGGCCAAGGAAGGAAAGTTGAAGAATACAGAGGTAACCTACAAAGAAGACTAAGTGCAGCCAGAGAAGAAAAGCATGGGGGAGGAAAGGTTAATCATGGAAAGTAAGATAATGGAAGCAATTTCTATGAGAAAGAAAGATACTGAGTATCAAACGCTCGACAATAAAGTCAAAGTAAAATTTTAGTTCGCTAACAGAAGTTGCTGGTGATTTTGAAAATGGCCGTTTGAATACCTGTGGACAGAGAAAGTGTGGGCAGCAAGACCTAAGCAAATCTCTTCTTCTCTGGGCTAAACAATCCAAGTTTACAGAAGAATTTGCAAAGTTGTTAATGAACAACTATCAAACCACAGGATACTAAAAACACTATCAGCAGACACTTCTTAGTAAAACACTATCAGATGACACTTCTTAGTAAAAAATTCAGAACACCACACTTACATGGTAAGTTCCAATTTGAGGAAGGCTACAAAAGCAAATTAAGTTGTGTTACTTAGATACAAAGTGCCCACTAATATGTCACAAATTCAAACATTCCACAAAAGAGGCAACAATCAAAAATATACACATCTAGTACAGCTACTACTCTTTGACAATTTGAGGATTTTCTCCTGGAGTGACAGCCTAGCTCATTGGTCTGGCTCCAAACCACAGAGAGCATCAACACCTAGTTCCCACAAAGGCAAGTGACAAAAACATAGAAGCAAAGCCCTGTGTTTTAAGCTATTCTTCATGAAGACAAGCCCAAAGAGAGCAGCAGACAAATTGTACCTCACAGATGATGAGGTACAGTGAGACCCCTTGAGGAAAAGCAGCTGCTTTTTCAGCTAATGGTTCTCAAACCTGAACATGTACCAGGCTCACCTGAAGGGCTTTGTCAATCACACTGATGGGCCTCTTCCTAAGGCGTCCATTTGTTTTGATCAGTCAGTACTAGGGTTTGAACTCAGGACTTTGTGTTTGCTAGGCAGGCACACTCTACCACTTCAGCCATGCTTCCAACCCTTTTCTCTGGTTACTTTTTAGATAGGCTCTCATTCTGTGCCAGGACTCACCGGGACAAGATCCTATTCATGTTTCCCACCAAAGCTGGCATGACAGGTATGTGCCATCACACCTAGCCTTTTCTGTTGCGATGAGAACCTCCTGAACTTCTTGCCTCTGCTGTCATGGAACTCAATCCTCCCGATCTCAACTTCCTATATAGCCAGAAGAGCAGGTGAGTGCCACTGGTAAGTTTTGGAAGTCCAGGTTTGAGATGGGGTCTAGGAATGTGCGGGTCTAACAAACTGCCAGGTAGCACTAATCTATACTACAGTCTTAGTATTCTGAGTTAAGATTACTCCCTGAACAAAAAAAGTTCCACTCAGTGCTAAAAATAAAATGCTATATAAACTTCCATGAGAGAAACTGAACAGTTTACTAATTAAATCGAGATGAGAAGTGGAATAAGAACAGAAAGTAGAAAAGTTAGAAGGAAAGTAAATGCCAATTGCACTGCATCCTCACTGACTCTCTTAGAGAAGCAGGCACTGATTCTCTGGGAGAAGCAGGCAGCTTTAAGAAGCAATCAGGCAAAGTACTTTTAAAATCAACAATTTAGTTAGCTTTCTGATTTCACGGCTCTACACGGGTCTCCAAAAATTTCGAGGTAAGTATGCTAATGAATGGTGCATTTGGCTGGCCTAGAATGCAGTTTCTAGGCCATTCTCCTAAATCCAGCATAGAAAAAGGAAATCTACATCTATAGAAGATCTATTAGTCAAAAACAGACAAAGTGTATTCTAATTGGGTGGAAGTAGAGAAGAAAAGATGTGCGCATCTTCTACTGCATCTCAAAAGACATTAAGGTTATAAAAACATTAAAAATCTATAGTTGTAGTACTCAGCAGTGACAATATTACATGTAATTCAATCTTTCTCCATTATAATTAAATGAACATTTCTCTACTCCTCCATGTCAGATGAATTTTTATGCAACCATATACATTAGGTGACTGTAGGTCATGAGAAACAAAACAGCTAACAAAGAAGGAATCATTCTTGCTAAGAAAGCATGAAAGCCTTTGGAGTAATAATGATAATGACAGAAGCAGTCAGAAACTCACCAAGATATATACAGCCAAAGCCGCCTTGGCCAACAGGCAGTCCCAGTTTCCACTCCTTTTTTGACATGTCCGTCACTATCTCCCCAGCTGCAAACTGTTCTGCAAGGCGTCTCTTCGCAGGGCCCTGTCTTCCAGCCTGAGCTGCTTTTGCACGAGGCATTTTCACTATGATACAAAACAAAGCAATACTCGAAGTTATCATCCCGTAAGTCTTCCAACCAATTTCCTTAAGTAAAACTAATGTGTGTGTTCAAATTCCTACTTATCCCAAAACTTACATGAGGGGTACTAGCCAATTCTGATTTATAATGGCTCAAGTATTATTTGATTATCTCTTGGTTTTGCAAAAGTAAGACAATCTCGGCAATTGCTTTCCAGATATTATTTAGTTTTACGTTCCAGTGGCATATCATCTATGGCTGAAGGGCTATTAAAAAAAAAATCGTGTGAGGTCAGGAGCAAAGTGTGTGCATGAGAACACACTCCTCAGTGCTGCAGCGAGGCCCTCACCAAGTTCAGCCCTCTACTGCTCAGTACACGGTACAAAGCCCACAGACACACTCAGAGGAATGCAGAGAGGACAGGGCATTAAGGGCAGGAGAGCAGCACCCGGTCAGCCCCAGGACTGTGTGAAGATTGCATTACCATCCACACATGCATGGATGTTACCTTCCAGGAATGATGAGGAGAACCTGTGACTGTTCAGATCCACAGAAAAGGCAGAGCTGGTGACATTCCTAATGAGTATTCCTATGCTCATTTCCCACTATGAATTCAACAAGAGATGCATCTCAACCCACTTTCTCACAAGCTTAAGTATACCATAACATTCTGGAAAAGCAATGCTTACTGGGGGCAAAAAAAAAAAAAAAAAGCCTGGACTGGAATCAAAAAACATATCCCAAATATGTTACTGGTTCGCTGGGAAATCCTGATCAAGTTACTTCAAGTCACTTCTAAGCTTCAAGTACCCTCAGGTCAACTCACTCTACTCTGCAAAGGAGTAGCGTGAGTACACACATGCATGTGTTGTGTGACTTTAAACAGGGGTCAAAACCTCAGTCTAACACAACCTGTGAGGGATAGCACCCAAAGTGAGGATCCTAAGGACAACACAAATGGAAGTGAATCTGTGAGTTAACCTCCAGATTTTGGAACACAACACAAAACCACATGAAGAGCGAATAACAGGCAATGATATAAAGTCAACCTGAACAATGCCATCTAAAAATAAGCCTACATACTGGATAACAGTTGCGTGTGAATCACAGGAACTGAAAGTAACCACAGCCTTATCCCACAAACTATCAGATGATTATTATGGGGGGGGGGGTGTCTTCAGAAAAACATTTCCTCTGAAAAGTTAAGTTGTAAATATTTAAAAAATAAGGCAAAACTTCACATATAAAGATAAAAAAAGAATCAGAATTTATAAAAACTCATAAATTAAGTGATAGAAAATAATCAAAAACAACAAAAAGGATTTAGATTGTGGCTTAGTGGCAAGAGCACATGTTCATTTGTCGTGCTATACTTAATGCCTGGGTTGGAGCCCCAGTACAAATAAATAAATAAGAAGTGATATGCACAAAAACTTTTAAATGAAAAGTCATTGCAAATAAAAAAAAAGAAGCCAGGTGTGGTGGTACAAGTCTGTAATCCCAGCCTAGAGTCTACAACAGGATAATCATGAGCTCCTGGCTGCCATGGGCTACCAGAGCAAGACCATCTCTCAAAATCCCAGCTACACAGAGGCAAAGACTGGGAAAAATCAAAGTTTGATGCCAGCCTTAGCAAAAAAAGAAAAAGTTAGCAAGACTCTATCTCAACAAAGCTGAGCTTGAATGTTTGCACACTTGGAGACATAGCTAATCAGGACCTCAATTTGGAGCCCTCCAGAGACAAAAACAAGAGACACTATCTGAAAAATTAAAGCAAGAAAAGGGCTGGGGACATGGCTCAAGTGGTAAAGCATTTGCCTGGAAAGCCCAAGGACCTGAGTTCAAACCCAACCACCACCAAAATAAAAAGGAGGGAGTCAAAAAGATAACCATATTCCAAAAGCAAACAAAGAATAAGAAAAGGCAATCTCCATATAACAAAACTCAAGTTATGTATTGTGGACGTAGAAAGAGTAAGACCCTACTAGAGAACAAGCAGGGATACTAAGGAGGCATCAGTGCCCCTGCAAAGTAAACACACACACTTGCTTGTAGACCTGAGACTGGAAAAGATTTACAAAGGAGAGTATTCATAAAGCCCTTGTTCTGGCAATATGAACACAGAACAACTATAAAAACTGGGAGAGCTGGGAGCCAGTGGCTCACGCCTGTAATCCTAGCTACTCAGGAGGCTGAGATCTGAGGACCGAGGGTCAAAGCCAGCCGGGGCAGGAAAGTCCGTGAAACTCTCATCTCCAATAAACCACCAGAAAACCGGAAGTGGCACTGTAGCTCAAGTGGTAGAGCACTAGCCTTGAGCTGAAGAGCTGAGGGACAGTGCCCAGGCCCAGAGTTCAAGCCCCACGACCAACAAAAAAAAAAAAAAAAATAGCATTGATTCCCACAGAATTATTTATTACTATGATATATACTGTCACCATTTATCATTTGATCAACAAGTATATATGGACAGCATACTGTGAAACAAACTGTTCTAGAACACAAGGATAAAGCACCAAGCTAAAGAAACAAAATGTCCTCCTGGAGTTTATATTTCACTCAGAAAACACACACACAAACACACACACACACACACACATATTTTAAATTAAGACGTTATATGTCTAAGGGGTAAAATGAGCTAAGGAGAGGGAGCAAATGTAGAAGTTGAAGGAGTAAACAGAGTGGAATTTAAAACATGGCTTCTTAAATCGCACAAGAAAAGTGACATTTAGGCAGAGACAATGAAAGGAGCTAGCCATGCAGATGCTCTGAAGAAAAAGCATCACTCATTGAGACAGGAACAAATGCTCAGGTGCACAGGTAGGAATGTGCCAGGCTAGCTCTACAAACAGCAAGGTGGCCATGCATCCAGAAAAGTAGCCAAGGGAAAACAGGCACTGGGGCCACACACCAGGATACTGAGGTGAAAAGAATGGCCACACTTGGACCACTGACGGACCTTAAATCTGGATAAGAAGGGAAATTGCTGGAAGGGGATGTGCCCTGCTCTCACTTGCATTTTAAGAGGGCAAGCCAGAAACCCCTGTTACAATGGCACTGCTATTGGAACAAGAAATGACTATATTCATGCTTACTGAATAAGAAAGTCACTGAGAAATAACTGCACTGACTTTTAGCCACTCACAGAGGGGTACAGAATAACTTCAGAGAGCTGTTTTAACTGTAGACAAGCTGCCTTTCCCCTCAAAAAACAAGCCTACAGTGCCAAGCAGAAACAATTGATATTAGTGACAGATGGTCTAGGAAGCATGCTAATCATCTCTTACTCTAGATTTGCTAAGCTCTCTTTATAGCAAATCAGTTCACCAGGAAATTCAACACTTGAACCATTTACTCCAAAGACATAATTCCTCCAAAAGTATGTGCAAGAAACAACAAGCAAATGGAAATTCAAAGATGATAAAATGGAACCTTGGGCCTCAAGAAGTTGTAGCTAGCTCCACTCAAGACCACCTTCACGCCACAGTTATGATTTAATAATATTCCATTCTTCAAACAAAGATCACAACAAAGCCTTTCAGGTAAAGAATATTTCTGAATCCTTAGACAAACTATTTATGAAAGACAGTGACCAGTTTTACACATTATAAAATCAAAGCCTATCAGACCCAAGAGAAATAAAGTACTACTTCCCTGGGGACAGGTCTCTACATTATCAAGAGCCTGAAAACTCCCCTCTCTCCATTACAATGACTTCTAGGGAGTTCAGAGCACAATTATAAAGCGGATTATATCACTGCTGTTGTCAAAGTCAGGAACTGTCCATCTTGGAGCCACCACAAGCACAGCAGCATTTCAGAAAAACAAAGGTCCCAGTCCACAACCACCCTAAGACCTGTACATTCTAGAACTGAACTATATACAAGGGTAGGGTGCATAAACTGGTCTACTGGGCCAGACATTCTGGCACAACTTCCTTTCTCCACTAAGTCACTTTCGGTGTGACCACTCTGTTATCTACTCTACTGGAAGATTTTAATAAAAGCTCCTTCTAGTTCATCTCAGAAATACAGCAAAAACTATAAATTACTGAATGGATGACTCAGGAAAAGTCAAAAACAAAGCTTTTTTCCCTATCCTATCATACTCCTAGGCTAAAATAACTCATTTGTATTTCAAATTTACTTGGGATAAAAAAGAAATTACATATTTTGGTGTAAATGGCGTCCTGCCAAACTACAGTAAAAGAACAAAATTAAATTATATAATTGGTCAACAATTGCCTCTTTTCTAAATTATACCAAGAACAATCTCAAAGCCATGCATCTAAAGACAAGTGTCCCCAAAATGAGCTAGCTAATATGAAGTTGATTAATGCAGTTGATTAACACTAAGAAATCATCTGAAAAGTAAAACATAAAATTCTGAATTTACATAGCCAATTCCCAGTAAGAGCTTTCATATATGTTCTTGATTTGTCCCTATAAATCCTACCACTACAAGAACTACAAGAATATTCAGTAAAGATAGATAGATAGATAGATAGATAGATAGATAGATAGATAGATAGATAGATAGATAGATAGATAGATAGATAGATAGATAGATAGATCTCACTAATACATTTAACACAAAAATTTGAGACACCAGGAAGTTAAACCAAAGTCTCTAGGTTCCTGTTAAGGCCTCCTAACCAGCCCCTGGTTTCACTCAGAGGAGCATGTAAATCAATAAAAGTACAAGTATTCATAGCTAGATGGTTCCTTTTATAACATTAACTAAGGAAGTATCAAAATACAACACAACAAAAACCCTGAGAATACAGAGATAATGAGCCTATAAATTCATAGATTTATTCCTTAAAAAAAAAACATTAGGCTAAACTCAAACTGTGACATAATCTTTAGCAGCAATTGTCACACTAGTCATGTTTTCACACCTAAGCTGGAAAGAACTAGGTGAAGACTCACGCTTCAAACTGAAAAAGAAGGTGGCTATCTTCAGACAAGAAGTCTTTTTCCTAGTCACAGTTTTTTCACG